GCTGACACAAAAACATATGGTTCAAATCCACCAGCTGCTCTGCAGGAACAAGATGGGCAATTTTGTCCCATGCAATCTCCTCCCTGCCTCTCAAAACCTGCTGGTGGTTCAGCTTTGAGTTGTTTTCAACTTGTAAACAACAACAGAACAACAACAACAAGACAGAGTAGAACCGCCCAGAGAGATTCCAAGGCTATAATCTTTACTGAGGGAGCGCTGGTGGCTTAGTGGTAAGGATTTGTCCTACCAACCCAAAGGCATGCAAACTGAATCTATCAGCTGCTCCAGGGGACAAAGAACAGTTTTCTCCCAGGAGATTTATAGAATCTGAAAACCTGCTGATGAGTTGGTTCTAACTAAACAGTACATAACAACAATAGCAATCTTTTTTTCCCCCCTCTGTATGTATTAAATCTTCCCACCTCTTTTTTTTTTTTAAAATTGAGGTAACAGCAGTCTCTTTATTGGGAGCTGACTACCTCAATTGTCTTACTTGGAGCGGCTGGTGGATTTAAATTCTAACCTTCTGGTCAGTAGTCAAGCCCTTTAACTCCTGTGCTCCAGGGCTCCTTATTGATTCCCTAGAAACCCCCCAAATAGTGCTGCTTCTCCTTCTTTTGCTTTGTTTTATGTAACTTGATTATCTACTATTTAAATTCACATATATCTGTAAGGAAAAGATTCCTTTAGAAGTCTCTATTTTACCAGAGGGACCTACATACTTGAGAAGAAATGGAACTTGGCTACCCTCTCTAGCTCCTGTGCACACACCCTACACAACTGTTGGGACTGAACTTTTTCTTATAGACTCTATTTATTACTGGCAGTACAGTGTTACAAAATACACTTCTGTACCAAATGAACCCTTTGGCTATACAAAAGGTCAGCAGTTTGAATCCGCTAGCTGCTGCTATATGGGACAAAGATGGGTCTCCTCCATTAAAGATTAACAACTCCACAGACTCAAATGGAGAAGTCTCTTGGGCTTAGAACTGACTCACTAGCAGGCTGTAAAGTTTTGGTTCTTAATAAAAAGAAGAAACAGATAAACTAAAGAACTGGGATCAGAGAAAAGAGAATGACAATGATTACATCTTCTACTCTGGTATGAAAAGAAACCTTCATTGGCTAAGAAGGTAGAAGGCTTCCTGATACAACACACAGGCTTTATCTGAAGATGAACGCCTTAGTAACAGTGATGACAACACTAAATAACACTTTACAGTATTATTTCTTGGATATTCGGGTACACTGGCCAAGTGGGGTCTTGCTAAAATGCTGACTCTAAATCAGGAGGTCTGGGGAGGAGTTAAGAATCTCTACATCTCACACATTTTTGATGCTTCTGACCTGTGAAGCACACTGTGGGGATCAAAACTCTTTACAAGTTTGCAAAGATCTTGTATCAATAGTTCTCCAACATGAACAGGTGGAAGGGCATCTTTGTCATGGGAAATCTCTGGGCAATTTCATTTCGGCTAACATATAAACTGGACATACTATAATCGGCAAAATACCATGTTGTCGTTGTGTAGTGCTAAGTCAGAACCAACCTGTAGCTGACTCTGCAGTGGGTTTTCAGAGGCAAATAATTGCCTGGGAGGAGACTGTTCATCTTTCTCCCACAGAGCAGCTGCTGGATCCAAACTGTCTACTTTTAGGTTGTCAGGGCAACATTTTACCACACAGACGTCACTCAAAATGCATCTGGTTACCAAGCTCAGAGTTGCTTCTGGATATATTTTTTTTCCTAGGTGTCTACTACTTGCCTATCACAGAAACCTCAACTAGTGCCTGTTGCATGAACGAATGAATGAACTTGGTTCCTAGTTAGACCTGGGACAAACACCATCACGGAGAGCTTTCTACTGGTCCTGTGTAGAGATGAGAGGACAGGATGAAATCAGCACCGGGCTTGGAGAGGTGGAGAAGAACCAGCAGGGAGGAAGAGGAGAAAAAGAACAGGCATAGCAATAACTCTGGAAGGGGTGGACACACTGAGCATGAGACATAACACTTAACACTCTGCATGAGCTGTCGTCTCATCTTCACAAAACCTCTTTGAATTTGAGATTATGGTATTTTCCATTTTACAAACTGGGAACAGCAGGAGGATACTAAGCAGACAGAGATAATTCAGTCGGGAAGGAGCCAGCAGGGTGCAGGCCTAGGCTGAGTCTCTATACTAGACGGCCGGCCCTCTCCACAGAAGAGCCGACTTCCAATCCTTGGGCCGCACAGCCCCCTTCCTACCATCACAGCCGGCCCAGTACCATGCTTTGTGTCCACTAACCAGTGTGGTTGTGCGGCCTCCCTAGATCAGGCCTGACTTTATCACTGTAGAAAAGCCAGTCCTAGACTAGCACTTTGGAAAATCCATGTTTTAACATCTGTGTTTCTGTATATATCTGTTATTGTTGATTGCCTTCGAGTCAAGCACAACTCACAGTGAACCTATGAACAAAAGGCCTGAAAGCCCCTCTATAACTACTGACATTTATCAAAGTTCATAGAGTTTCCGGAGGCATGTTGTTTAGGAAGTGGATGCCACTCCTGCTTCCAAAAGTATATATTAATATACCTTAATACAGTGACTTTGTGTTTTGTTTTTTTTTCAGCTTTATCTTAAGGTTTTATAGAAGAGGAAACAAACTCATTTAATGAAACTGAGAAGATCATATCGGGGCCTAACTTTTTAAGAGTTTCAAGAACATACAAAGAGCTCTCGCACAAGTCTGTGGACTGGCCCACTGTTCGTGTATGGACTGGCCCACCCGCCGGCAGCTTCCCTCACTGGCTTTGTCAGTCATGCTTGTTCCTGCTCCCACAGCTTGGCTTGGCTTGGCTTTGCCTTTGTGGGTTCTGTGAGTGGGAATATACACAACCCCATCTTTTATTTTTTTTGACTTATCTGAGGTTATACACATAAGGCTCCTTCAGTCCTATATCCATTCTATACCCAGAAATCCTCCAGACAAGGCCAATCCCGTACTTAGTCAAAGCAGTTATCAAATGCAGTGAGAGTTACCACCGAGAAAAAATACTTCCATCTAATTTATCATCCATACCTAATGCTGTTATTGGCACAAAAATATACATTAAAGATGGACCAATCATTTTTAATGGCTAGGTTCATATTAAGAATTAATATAAGTAATTAAGAATTAATAGGAGCAGAGTGCTTTGGCATTTACAAAGACTTCTTATTGCTTTAACTCATTTGATTTTCATGTTGCCTTTCATAGGTCAGGCTGGCAGCACCGCAATGGAAATGAGGCTAAAGGGGCACTGTTCCTCATGACATGCCATCATGTCTATTTTTTTAAGACTTAATGTGCACTAACTCAAGTATTTTAAATTCTGAAAATAAGATCGTTTGGTTGCTTCTCTCTGTTCCCACTTTTTCCTATGTCAATGGTAGGGATTCTAATTACTACATACTTAGGAAGATGCCAAAGCTACCTGTTAGAGATGGAAGAGTGGCTTCCTACTTATGTGTTATGGGAACTCTGGAGGTGTAATTCATAGAGTTGTGTTGCTAATCTAAAGGTTGTTGTTGTTGTTGTTATGTGCCATCAAGTCATTTGCGACTAACAGAGACCCTATGTACAAGAGCCCTAAACGCCGTTCTATCCTGTGCCAACCTCGCTGTCTCAAACACATTCATCTCACACCACTCCACCCACAGAACTGATCCATCTCATCGAGGATCTTCCTCTCCTGCGCCGTCCCTCCACTCTCCCAAACATGATGTCCCTCTCCAAGGACCAGTCCCTCCTTGCAACATGCCCAAAGTATGTCAGATGAAGCTTCAGAATCCTTGACTCCAGGGACCATTCTGGCTTCACCCTCTCCAGGACAAACCTGTTTGTTCTCCTAGCAGTCCATGGTATAGTCAACACTCTTCTCCCAGTTCGAATCTACCAGCAGCACTACAAAATGGGCAATCTTCTCTTGTGTGATTTACAACCTCCAAAAATCCATTAGAGGGTAAGCTATGAATTGGCTCCAACTCAAAGGCAATGACTTGGACTTTTTTGATATATGTGTTGTAATGCTAACTATGGATAAAATGTCATTTGAGAATAGAAGTTTCTCTGTTACTTTCATGAGGCCGTATGAATAAAGGGTGTATCTTAAATCTAATCACTTTTGAGATAGAAAAAAGGCAAATAAGGCATAGGAACAAGCAAGCAAGCACAAAGAGGGCTAAGAGAGGTGCCAGGTAGAAACTGCCAAAGACACAGGGGTTCAAGGCTACAGAAGCTGAAAAGGACCCTTCCCAGGTCTGACAGAGGAACGTCTTCCACTAGAGCCAGTGACCTAAATTCAGACTTCTCACCTCCTAAATTGTGAGAAATAATTTTTTATTTATTAAAGCTATTCCTTGTGGTATTTCTATCACAGCAGCCCTAAGAAACTAAGATTCTACTGCAGGGCAGAATTAGGAGGCTTTGAAGGGGGGGCAGACAGAGTAGAGGTTGACAGGGAGGTGAGGGCCCACACATGAAGTGACCAGCTAACAAAAGAAGTGTCCAGGTCCAAGGTACTGCCCACAACAGGGCAGACTTCTGCTTTCCCCACAACACCAAAAGAGTCTGTGTTAATGGGAGAAGAACAATATGCTAAGTTTTACAACTCTGCAAGATTTACTTTTTTTTTTTTTTTTTGCAAAATTTACTTTTAAACCACTCATTCAGATGATACAAAATGACCTCATATTTCAGCTTAGAGTTCTTCTTCCCAGAGCTTTCGGCACCTGAATTTGGGGAAGATCACTAGGCCTTTTTGTCTTTTTTTCTAGGAAGCTCTGGGTGAACTTGCACTTCTAAGCTCCTGGTTAGCTGGTGAGTGTGTTAACTGTTTGCACCACTAAGGAGCTCACAAAGACTGTTAAGAATACACATTAACAGACCACTTTTTGTGTGAGACCGAGTGGCCCACTTCTCAAGGACTTGAACTCCTGGTTCGTGATGGGGGAGCAATAGTAAACCACTTACCTTTTCCAAGGCCTCTCTGTCGATCAGTTCCTGCACAGCCAGAAGCTTAATGCTGCAAGAAAAAATGAAAATAGGCACACTTGAGAATAAACCATGTCATGTCACCAAGAGTAACACAAATCATAAAAACAAAGGTCTGAAAAGTCACATTTTATCACTACTTCATCTCCCATTTTAAGGTAGCACCTTCTTCAAACAGAAACTACCATTTCAGCCTCCTCCATTACTACCTTTCCAGGGAAGATGCTCCATCCCTTTGGGAAGAACCTATCATTGCTTTTTACCTTCAAAAAACAAGCAAGCAAGCAAACAAACACATATACGCCAGCATTTCAAAGCTATTATAAATCTAAATTTGATTAGAATATGCTTCACGTACGGGATTCAGAGACATTAGAGGAATTTAAAAAACCCTGTAAAACATGTTCAATAATAATATTCAATTGATGTCCTTTTAATAGTAATAATAGCTAAAATTAATGCTGACTAGAAGGTACACTCAGGTTCTGCTTATGTTTACCGAACACTTTTCAAGCCTACGATGTACAGGAGCAAGCTCTGGTGGTCTATTGGGCAAGGAATTGGACTGTCAATACAAAGGCAGACGGTTCAAATCCACCAGCTGCATTGCAGGAGAAAGATGGGCATTCTCCTTCCATGCTATTTACAGCTCCTGGAAACCCACTGGAGAGTCAGTTATGAGTTGTTTTGACTCAATAGCAATGTGAGAAAGAGACTGTGTGTAAGTGGCTGAAGATACCAGGGGACCAGGGCACTCCTTGTCTGCAAGGTGCTCACAGTCTCTGAGGGACAAGATCCAATTAGATAAGCAGTGTACAAAGTGAATACACTGAGGCACAGAGAGGAGCCTGACCTGGGGAAGTGAAGTGTTTAACTGCCACTGAAGGGGCCTGGGGTCAAAGATGACCCATTGACTGATAGCAAGAGTGACAGTGGACACGTTGGGAATGACTTAGCGGTCAGCGCCCACACTGTAGTCAGCAAGCAAGATGAAACAATTCATAAGTGTGCAGTTATCACATCCTGTTGCCACTGAGTCAATTCCTACTCCCGGCGACCCCACGTGCCACAGAACTGAGCTGTCCTTTAGGGCTTCCTTGGCTACACTCATTATAGAAGATTTGATCTTTCTTCTGGGTGACTCAAATTGCCAACCTTTAGCAGAGAAATCAAGTACAAGGTGTATGCTCCCCCCAGGGACCTGCAGGATGCTTCTCACTCTTTGACCTGTAGCTTCTGAGGTATCCATGAACACCTGAGGTATCCAGTGCAGCCTGAAGGGCCCAGAGCTGAGCTCACCAGCATGCTGCTGATGTGTGAGTTCAAGGAAATTATTTAGGGAATGCTTGTGGGTTACGTTTCTTCCCTAGTCCACCCTCCATTTCCAGCAAATCTGTCTTGGTGAATGTCACTCACCTGGGAAGCTCCCCAGAGCAGACTGGACACCACCTGTCCCATGAGCCTCCCTCAGAAAGGGTTATGCCCACTATCATATTTACCAATATCTACAGAACTCTTTGCAATCTCTCTCTACAAGCAAGCAAGTGCTGTCCAGCAAAATGCAGTGGTTTTAAACCATCTCCAGAAGCAGCCATCAAAGTTGTAAAGACTTTTGCTGCACTGCAACATTTGGGGCGAATGGACAGGGCTCTGGGGTTCACTCTGCCCTAATCACACTGGCTTTCATGTCACATCTTAGGCATGTCTGCTTTTAACGTCCTCTTGGCTGAGAAGGACCTTCCTTAGACCTTTCCAATATTGCCTGTCTTGGTGGTCACACCCCAGAGAAGAGGTTCTTTGGTTAACAGCACCACTGCCCATGGCCTTTGTCACCACAACTCCCTGGCACTGTCTCGTCCTCCCAATTTAATCTTTTTTAGGAAGCGTACTGGTACCTAAAAGCACTTATGTGTTCGAGTGTTTCCATCTATCTCCTCCCACTGCATGTGAGCGCTCCTTGATGTTAGGAGCTCAGTAGTGTTTTGGGGGTCCTCTCCCCTCACCATTGTATTTGCTGAGTCACAACTAATCCATGGTATTTACTGACTGACTGGGCCCAGAGACCTACAGACCAGGTTGCTTGTTTGGCTCACCTATCATCTGTCATTTTTTAATATTGTAGAAACTTGCATGCTGCTATGGTGCTGGGAGATTTACAACTGGTATTTTGAAATATCAGCAGTGTTACCCTATGGTACACAAATTTCAGCAGAGCTTTCTGGTAGCTGAGTGGATGAGGAGTTATCAACCCAGGGTAGGCAGTTCAAACCCACCAGCATAACTTACAGCCTCTGAAAACCAGCTGGAGAGTTACTTATGAGTGGGTTCTGACCCAACGGCATTGAGTTGAGCCTGAGTTTCAACTTAAGACAGACTTCGAGAAAGATCTGAGAGTGTACTTTTGAAAATCCTCTCTCTCATTACTGCTGACTCAGAACACACCCTCCAGTAGGCTTGCAGAGGCAGTAAAACAGCAAGGCAGGAGACTGCCCATCTTTCTCCTGTGGAGCAGCTGATGGATTCGAACCATCTACCCTTGGCTTGGAAGCACAAAGCCATACCCCCCTGGGTCTCCACAGCAATGAAAACCTATGGATTAATAGAAAATTTAGGCTGTTATCACCAGCTGTTTTGAACTGGGACACAATAAAAGGTCCTGGTTAGTATGGATGGAAAATGTAGAGGAAAGCACAAATTCATAACAAAGATCACACTCACTAACTGAAAGGAACCTCTGAAATTATTGCCTTAAAATAATCTCTTAATCTGGAACTGAAGTCTCTCCCAGAAGTCACTCTACAGTCAGATAACAGATGAGCCTAAGAAAGAAACAGTAACACCAAGAGCAACGTGCTCCTTTACACAACCAAATGCATCAGACCAAGCAGTCACCATTTACCATAAAACAAAGAGGAGAAGGTAGCGAAGAGCAGGGAAAGCAGACAGACGGGACAGGGCAGGTGGGGTGGAAACGGCGAGGCCCCGACACACTGCAGGGATGGTAACCAAGGCCAAGAACAATCAGTGCGTGAATTTTGATTAGGAATCAAATATTTTGTGTACACTTTGATCTAAAACACTATAAAATGGTTTGGGGGGCTTTTTTTACACGTCTTAATGATCACAACAGAACATTGTGCCACTTGATTGCTTTGGATGCTGTCAGGTGTGGGCCAGCTGCTGGAGGAAGACACTGTGTGTCACGGAGTAAAGGGCCAGTGAGGGCCAGGGACATCCCGAGGGGACGGACTGGCATTACAGCCACAACGATGGACCCACACATGGGTCAGTGTGAGGAAGGTGTGCCTGGGCAGGCTTCCTTCTGTTAAATACAAGGTTACCTGGAGTGGGACTCATGTGGCAGCTAACAACAGCTGTGACCAGCTTGGGTAGAGAAAATCACAGGCCCCATGGTTTCACCTGGAAAACAACTCCTCAAAGGAGAGGACTGAGTGTATCCTCTTTGCAACAAAAGATTCTGGACTCATCTGTAAAATTACTGCTCTTACTGAAATGAGCTGGATGGCAAGTCAAGGTTACTGGCCACTCTTGTTACTGATGCATTCTGTTACTGATGCATAAATCTAGATCCGAAGTTATTAATGTAGACAGCGATTTATTTGCTATGTTAGGAGATTCCAGCTGTAGTTCAAGTTTCAGAAGCTTCAATTGCCTTTGAACTAACCACCGGAAAACATTCACACTGGAGGGCCTTCCAGACCCTCTCAGCGGCCATGAGGTTCAACTCAGTATCAGATAACAAGAGGGTAGAGAGAAGATTTAAACAGCACTAAGGGGTCTCCTTTCTCTCTAATCACAATCATGCTAGATTCAAACAGCTGTCAAACATGATTTGAAGACCAGAAGTTTCACATCCTAGATGAAAGTGAAAATTAAAACAACTTCAGCTGACTCGTACTGAGGTGAAAACTTTACGAAAGCTATTCCCTACTTTCACCTCTGAGTTCTGGTGGTTACACTGCCAACATGAAGGCCCATGGCTCAAACCACCAAATGTGTCTGTGGAAAAAGATGGGCAATCTCCAGTGTAATTCACTGTCTCTGAAAACCCACTGTAGGGTCGGCTATGGGTCAGCTCCGACTTGACAGTACAAAACAACAACATTCCCTTTATGCTCCTCTTGCTCCAAACCAACCATCGCTGAGTTGATTAGAGCTCATGGTGACCATCAGGTTTCCAAGACAGGAGGAGACTGTCCATCTTTCTCCTACAGAATGGTTGATGGATTTGAACCACTGACCTTTTTGGTCTGCAGCCTGACACATAATACACTATGCTACCAGGGCTCCTTCCTCTACAGCAGGGATTGTAAATCCTAAGAATACTGATCACTACTCTTTGAACCTCTCAACTTCCTTACATAGACCTTCTCCCCACTGAACTCTGATATAACCTCAGAATCTTTCTTAACACTTCAGTTAAGTTACACACAATTACTATTAGTGGTTTGTGAGACAAAACCCACTTAGAGTCTGTTCTAAAACCATATCAAATGGTTTTTGTTGAGTACCATCAAGTTGGAAATGACCCACAGCTGATCCTCCAGTAGATTTTTTAGAAGAAGTAAGTCTCACAGGAGAAGACTGCCCATCCTTCTCTCTTTATTAATTAAAGAGAAGGGAAAATACACTTCTACACACTAAAACCTAACAATGTGGGGGAGGATAGCTTTAGGGATAGAGGGAGAGAAGAGGACAGAATACTCAAAATCTATACAGATGAGTTTCAACTCAACATGTGCTGTTAATAAGAAGTCACTGTCACAGCTGTTGACAGCCTTGCATTTTTTTTTCCAAAGGCTGTGTTTTCCTCCTCACAGTTATAGTCTTTTGGAGTTCTGAGATACTTCTTGATATAGCACCATCTTAACAGTTTCATCTAATTGAAAATCTTCCAAGTCTGAGTGATTTCAATATTTAAATGATCATATACTTATAGCACATCAGATACTCCCTGGGAAGAAATGTCACACAAATTGAAGGAACAATAAACCCAAATCCTCCCTTTGA